GCGCCGCCGCGCGCAGGTGCGGGCTCAGCCGCGAGGCGGGAAGGTTCAGGCTCTGCTCCCCGAGGGGGCTCTGTACCACTAGCTAGAAAAGGTTATTGTTTTATTTTCATGTCTTTAAACATAGAAAATGCTGCGCGCTGGATGATTTGCAGTTGTCTTCAGAGAAACAAAAGGGCAGTAAGCCATCTCTGTCAAAAAGTTAAATTACTTTCATATGTGTCAAAGAAACCAATTACTAGCAGCAGGCCCGCTTCAACTCTTCGTATTTACTCCCTAGCGATGTTATATTTACCAACTATTTCCCATCTTAACTCTACAGAAAACACAAGACCTCTGTGTATTGAAGACATTGTAAACTGTAGTAGATGATTTCACCAACACGTAACTACTACACTAGTTAGTAAAGCACTTGCACATCTTCCCGCTTACGCAGGTGAGGGTCAGTTGCAAGCTGGCTGGGAGCGTGGTCCCCGTTCTCCAGCCCAGCGTGCGGTGGAAGCTTGCTGGGTTCTCAGCGACGGCTTTCGGTGTGGGAGCAACGAGCCTTACAGGCAGGTTGCAAAGCTCTCTTTAAGCTGACGAGTCATTTTGGAATCACTCGAGTGAAACATGGTAGAAAGGCGTGGAGTTTTGTGATGGCCAAAGGAAGTCTTTTGAGTGCACGGGAAGGAGAAGGAGCCCAGGGCAGAAACCAAGCCCGTGGCCGTCGGTGCTAGGATGAGCTTTGACAGCTGGTCAGGATCTTTCTGGGTCGAACAACTGCTCTGCGCCTTGTCCCCTGTACCCTTCACCCCCAGACAACTCTGGCAAATGTACAAGTTGCTCTTTTTCTCGTGAATAGTTATGGACCAAAATATGGACTGGTGTCAGCAGAAAAATGCGCATGTTTTCTAACTAATGTTATAGGAAAACACGTGAAAATAACTTGACCTGTTACACTATGAGTAGCTGGAGAGGGTAACCTTACTTCACTGCATCTGTTTTATTGGGCATAGGCTATTTTGCATATAAAATCAATACAGAATACAAAAAATGTGATGACTGACATTTACAGTAAAAAATGTAAAAATGCATTTTGACCTGTATTTGCACCAGGAGTTACCTCCACTGCGTACGCTTCCTCGTGGCTTCCCACCCCTGGTTAATTTGGAGGTGGCTGTGAGGGAAGGGACAGTGCATGTGTGCTCTCTGTAGCTCTACATGCAGAAATTCATGCAATCAGAGATCCAAGAGCCTTAAAAAATTCCAGCGTCAGAAAAGGCAGCTGAAGTCAGCTATTTCTTCTAAAGTATCTTGAAATTTCGAGTTGGTCTCATACACAGTCCATTCCTCTTCTAAGGGCTCCTTCCTTCTCAGTCTTTTCCTCCTGGTAAATAAGCTCGTCTGTATGTTTCTTTTATCTCCATCATAAAAAGACAAATATTTTCAGTCCCTTTGCATAGTCCACAACTCATCCTATTGCAATCAGTTCAGCAGCTCAAGGTTTCTTAGAGACTAAGTACTGCAGGATCGAATTTAACAGAATTAGGATATAATCCGGGGAGAAAAAAAATTACATCACTGCCCCCAAACTGAAAAGCGCGTACTAACAAAAAATAAAATTCCACATCATGCTTTCCATATATATGTCTGATTGCAAAAACCACTACCGTATAAAGCAGATTATGAAGTTAGTTAACTGTGGTTCCAAATGTTTACATTTGTTCACATTTTTTGTTTAAAGGAAAAAAGAAACTAGATTTTTTTTTTTCTTTCCACCCTGCGGTGTATTCAATTTTGTGTTGCTTGTGACACACGGATTACCTTGCCTGCATATTCATTTTTGTGCCTATACAGTAAGTGGGGTTTGCATGGTAATGGTGCTGCTGAAC